GACTCAGGCTCAGCCCGAGGGCGCCGGGCTTCTGGGTTGAGCTCTGCGGCCTCGCCGCCCCGGAGCGGGAGAAGGACGGGGGCGGGGCGGGGCCGAGATGCCCCTCCCCGTCCCGAGCCCAGGCCACGCCTGAGACTCGCAGACTCCCGCTAACTTGGAGCTCGACTGCGAACCTTTGGGTCTACCCCGACACTACAGAGTTTTCTCTCTTACACTACGGGAATGCGATGGCGGGGAGGGACACAAAGCAGAGACAAGGCTTTACGAGTGAGAGACTCTGCCTGACCTGTCCTTTGGGATCAGGACGACAGGTGTGAAGGGTCATCCCTGGTTTCCTGAAGCGGGAGCCTCATCCCTGGGAGAGTCTGCAAACCCTGTGGGTCCAGGAGTCCGCCTGCGCAGGGAAGATGAACCCGGGTAGGCATCCTGGCAGAGAGGGTCCCCAATCCTGAGCCTGTGGCAGGAATACTCACTCATTGCCAATGTAGCCATCCACTAGGGTGGGCTCGGTGGAGAGAGAGCTTGTTGAATGGTCCCGTGACCATTTTGGCGTCCGGGTGACAGAAAGAGCTGGCCTCCCCCAAGATATCAGTGACCCCTTCGGGAATTTGCAAAGTAGCTCCCCCAGAAGATTGGAGAGACCTGTACTAGGAGATAGAGGAGGCACCCAGGTTCTGTCTGTGGAGCCTCCTCTGAGTATGTATGGAACCTGCCAGTCCAGAGCACTGCAGGAAGTTCTCCCCCATCTCCTGTTCAGGCTCACCAGTTCCACAGAGCTGCTTGCTAGGAAGGCAGAGGAGGAAAGTAGACTCCAGGAGGGCAAGAAAATAAGCAGTCCGGACCCAGGGAAAAGGTAACCATGCCTAAGTCCTCTTTCTGCCTTTCCTGGCTGCGCAGTCCAGTCCCTGACCTCATTCTCCAGCCTCTGCCCTATGTTCTGTTTATTAATCAGCTGTCCCTGGGCTTTTTGGCATCTAAAAGTTTCTCATCACTCTGAGGGACAGAGAACTTCAAAGACCCACAGATATTTAGTTCCCACCCCAAGGGCAGCTGGGCCCAAGGAAGCCATACAGCACCCAAACCCCGTCCCGGATACCAGGCTACATTTCTTGTCAGGGCAAGCTGGTGCCAGCAGTCCTGTGGGCGGGTTTTTAGCACAGCACTGTCTGGGAAGCATGTTAGTACATGCAAGAACCCAGGAAGTTCTTCTTCAGGTCTAACTGTAAATGGGATTTGTTGCAGACATGCTGGTTCTCAGAGCACTCCTAGGGAGGTCCCACACTGCAGTATTGCACCACACAGTCTGAGCTGTCGCCGCTTGGGACTCTAAACCCCTACACTCATTCCCAAATGTATGCCATAGTAACTCTCCCATCTCCCCTGCACTGGCTAGGTTCCCACCATTTCCTTTACAGGGAGCCTTTCCCCACAGGGCTGAAGACTTCCCAGGAGACATTGGCCCAGAACAGCGAGATGAGTTGAGAGTTTGGAAGCTGACCCCCTTTCTTGTTCTTCTCTCTGGCTCTCTTGATGAAAATGGGTACAAATCTGGGAACATCCAGGGTGACATGAATCGCCAAGATCTCCCAAGCACCTAATGTGGCTCCTATTGTGTGATGAATACTTAATAAATTCAGATTAATGAGGCGTTAGAGAAGGCTTTCTGGGGGTGATGGCCAGGCAAGGAGGTAAATGCATTCCAAGCAGAAGAGAGAGTGACTTAATGGTATAAAGGTTCCACAGCAGAACACAACTGAAGGACGGCCAGGGAGCTCAGGAGTGGGGATGCAAGCTCGTCCTTTAGGGAAGCAGGAGAGGGGCTTAAAGTCCCTTCCTCTAGTCTTGTGGTCATGGGCTCTGGCTACCTCCAAGTTTTTGTTCCTTCTTTGTAGAAAAGAAATCTAGATCCTACTGCAGAGTGTTTGGTGTAACAACTCTATTGAGGTACAATTTGAATACTATCCAAAGCCAGGGGTCGCTGACTTCCAGAATTTTCATCATGCTGTGCAATCATGACTATCAATCTTACATCTTATTTTGTATTTTATTTTATGTGCATGAGTCTTTTGCCTGCATGTATGTGCCTGGTGTGTGAGGAGGTCGGAAGAGGGTGCCTAGTCCCCTGGGACTGAAGTTACAGACAGTTATGGGACACCATGTGGGTGCTGGAAATTTAACCCAAGTCCTCTGTAAAAACAGCCATTATCTTTCTTTTTTTCCTTGGTATGGTTTGGTTTCTCAAGACTGGATTTTTTTTGTGTGTAGCCTTTTAGGCCAGGCTGGCTTCGAACTCAGAGATCTGCCTGCCTCTGCCTGCAGAGAGCTGGGATTAAAGGTGTGTGCACCACTGCCACCTGGCCACAGTCAGTACTCTCAACCACTGATTCAACTCACATCTATCAATTTTTATCACCCTTAAAAGGAATCCTAGACCCATTAGCAGTCATTCCATGTTTTCTCTCTACCGATGTTCCTATTGGCAAGCTACCAATGCATTTTTTGCCTCTCTGAACTTTCAGGTCTGTTTCCTTGAAATGGACTCATTTAGTGTCTGTCAGTTTGCTTCTAGCTTCTCTCAGGTTCTTCCATGGTGCTACACAAACAGGCTCCATTCCTTTTAGCGTCTTTTAGTTCCTTCATGTGGAGAACCTGTGGATAATGTCCACTTTCTGGCTATAATTATTAGTGCTACTAGGAACAAGGTGTTGTGTGATGTGTTTCGTTGTTCTTAGGATTTTGCTTCGGAAGGGAATTTCTAGGTCTTAAGGCAACTCCACTTAATACTTTGGGAATAGCCTCCTACTTATTTTTTCTTTATTTTTAAAGATTTATCATTTTAATTATGTGTATGTGTGGACCTGTATGTGAATATGTCTGTGTGAGTGTCAGTGCCCAAGGAGGCCAGAGGTGTTGCCTTCCTCTAGAGCTGAAGTTAAAGCAGCTATGAGCTACCGGACATGGGTACTAGGACCTGGATTAAGGTCTTCTGCAAAGGCAATTATACACTCTTAACTAATGAGCCATTTCTTCAGCTCCAAAGAACATCTTTTTGAAAAACTTTATGCTGGGCAGTGGTGGTGCATGCCTTTAATCCCAGCCCTTGGGAGGCAGAGGCAGGGGGGTCTCTGAGTTCTGGGCTAGCCTGGTGTACAGAGTGAGTTCCAGGACAGCCAGGACTTCATAGAAAAATATCCCTGTTTTGAGAAAACAAACAGAAAGAAAAAAGAGGAGGAGGAAGAAAAGAAAAGCTTTGTTTATTATTATTTTGTGTATGTCTGACTTGTCTGGGTCCACATACCCTGGTACACGTATGGATGTCAAAGAACAAAGGCATCATTTCTCTCCTTCAACCTCTACATGGGTTCCAGGGACTGAATTCAGGCCACTAGGCTTGCTCAGAAAGCACCTTTACCCACTGAGCCATCTTGCCATCCCAGACCAGAAACATCCTCTGTGTTTCTCTAATATAGGGTTGCCCACCTCCCTCCCTTGGGGATGTCAAGGCTGGTCCTCTGTCTGGCTCCTGGCCTGCTTTGCTGGCAGGACCCAGACCCAGAACCTTGCTAGCTTTCTCCTGTGTGACCTAGAAACAGTGGATCCCCATATCTAAGCCATGGAGTCCTGGGAAGGTCACTTGCTTCCTGCTAACTGGTTCTACCTCTTTTGCTTGGAAATAAACATGAAGTTCCTGAGGGGTCTTCATCTTAAGGGTCTCATAATCTCAGCACTTAGGAGGCAGATATAGCAGGATCATCAAGAGTCCCAGGCCAGCCGGGCGTTGGTGGCACATGCCTTTAATACAAGCGCTCGGGAGGCAGAGGCAGGGGGATCTTTGTGAGTTCAAGGCTAGCCTGGTCTACAGAGTGAGTGCCAGGACAGCCTTCAAAGCTACAGAGAAACCCTGTCTCAAAAAACAAAAAACAAAAAACAAAAAACAAAAAAAAAAAAGAGAGAGTCCCAGGCCAGCCAGGAGGTGGTGTCACATGCCTTAATCCCAGCACTCGGGAGGCAGAGGCAGGGGGGTCTTTGTGAGTTCAAGGCTAGCCTGGTCTACAGAGTGAGTGCCAGGACAGCCTTCAAAGCTACAGAGAAACCCTGTCTCAAAAAACAAACAAACAAAAAAGAGCCCCAGGCTTGCCTCAAAAAAGAAGGAGGGACTGGGTATGTAGCCAAGTGGGTTAAGTGCTTGCCTAGCCTGCGCAAAGCCCTGGGTTCTATTTCCAGTACCACATAAATGAGACATAGTGATACATGCCTGTATAAACAAAATAAAATATAAATAAAAACAGGATAGTCAGAAGTCCACGATCATCCTCAGCTACATAGTGAATTTGAAACTCTCCTGGATTACATAGACCCTGTCTTAAAAAAAAAAAGTCTCAGGGGGTGAGGTGGGCAGAGATCCTACATACCCTAAGCTAGAGAGAACACATGTTTCACTGAATTTGTCAAGGCAAGACAGTCAGGCAGATGGTAGGTAAGACATGGGCCAGCCAGCATGTGAGTAGTTAGGCTTGGTGCTGTGATGGAAGAGAAAAGCCTCAGATGAAGGTCCATGAACATGCCCCTGGGGAAGAAAGCTGACCAGAGCAGCCATGGACAGACAGAAATGCCACCTACCTCTGCCTATGCCCCTATTAGAGGCTAATGAGTTCTTTGTGTGTAGTTTGTTTTTCAGTGCTAAGGATGGGCTTTGCCTGTGTTA